AAACGAACACACGGTAAACCTAGTGGTAAGGAGATGATGTGGCCCATCCACATCTGAATCTATACCCGATTAAGGACTAAGATGAAGTGCCCCTTTCCAGTAACAAGTGTCTCCGGTTCTCTACGGTCATCATCCGAAATACAGCACCATTAAGCTGCTATTTTACGCTGGTATTCAGTGACAGCGTGGTACCTCCCCAGTCGAGCTGACTAATTTATGCTCGAACCATAATATACCGTATACGGTGGAGTCATGCTATTTTATAAAATAGCATGACTCCACCACGTAAAGTATTCGTATAAACATAAGAAATCATTAAACTGCTATATTAGCGAGTATTCTGTATTTACCCATTCTTGCTACAAATATATATCTGCAGCATAGCTCTACCCACATGTAAACGAATATGTGACGCAGAGGATGGTAAAGTACACTGATTTGGCTCAACAAAACGTTACACCCTCTTACTTTGAAGAGAAAAAGAACATAATTGCAGACTGGCTGAGCGTCTGATTATCAGATGGTGCACAAACTGGAACTACTTGTGTAGTTCAATATTATGTAAAACCACCATCTTTAAACAAAGCAATGTAAACCGTGCGTTGATAAATAATTTGAAACGTGTCACACGGAGTTTACAAAATGGTTTCGCTCTAGCGAAAAATTAAACGAGATTTTATGCAGTGTCAAGGCAAAACAAGTTTTATATAGCACAAGCACTTCAGCCATATTTCAACTAGGCACATAGGTGTTCTCGTAAAATTAGAATACAGGTTAAGTAATTTAATTTGTCTTGGAATTTAAGTTCTTTTATAGAATATGGTTGACAGTTGACCACATAGTCTACCTCATGATAAGTGGATGATGTCACTCACAGACATATTATACCTATCCTCGATTTGGAATCAAAATGCAGAAGCGTTACCATGCCTGGCGATTGAGATGGAATGCCTCGTTCCCAATATTTCTTATAGAATATGGGTGATAAACGAGCACTCCACGTAAGTGGATGCTGTGGCCCATATATACTCACATTTATCTTAGATTAAGGATCAAAATACAAGCATTCCACCTTAGATATATAGACAATTGTCACCCTTGACGACTAACTCTTTATACGTGGTAGATCCGTGCTGCAGTTATATTAGTAGTATAGTTGTAGCTCGAATGGGTCTTCTCGACCGGGGAAGGACCACGCTCTCACAGAATACCTGCGTCAAATAGTAGCTTAATGCTGCTGTGTTTCGTATGGTGAGTGTGGAACTGGAGACCCTTTTTACTGGAAACGAGGCATTCCATCTTAGTCCTCACGGGTAACAACGCATCTGCATTTTGATTCGTAATCGAGGATAGATGTAGATGTCTATGGGCCACACCAAACACTTACCACCAGGTGGACTGTGTGCTCGTTTGTCCACCATATTCTATAAAAAAAGAAAGATGGAATGCCTTGTTTTCTGTAGTAAGAGTCTCCGGTTCTATACACTGACTTTAAAAAACACAGCAGATTTAAGCTGCTATTTTACGCTGTCATTCTGTGAGAGCGTGGTCCTTCCCCGGTCGAGCCGTTCCATTCGTGCTACAACCATAATATTGCTGCAACATGGCTCTACCAAGTTTATATATTTTTATTCCATAAATCACGGTGAATATTTTACCTGCTCTATTTCTACAATATATTTGAAATAGTAGACATAAATTAATTTGAGATATCAATAAAGCCGTACATGAATCCGCTAACGTAGAATTACGCGCCTCCCGACCCCACCGCGTCGTGAATTATTGACACAGTTTAATAAACAGGCGTCGGCATCCACGTAGAAATATGTACATTCAGTTTTACTACGCACGGTATGTATACATATATTTAGTTTTAGACATTTTTATTAATATGGAACACGTTGTGAATCATTATCCCACCAAAATTTAAATCCATCTTAAAATTTATAATTACATTATAACTATTATTTATTTAAAAACAAAACAGATATGATAACATTTATACTCAATTAAGAATAAAATGTAGATGTGTTGTTACTCATGAGGACTAATCCAGTAAAAATGGCCTCCTGATGATTACACTCACCATACGATACACAACAGCATTCAGCTGCTACTTTACACTGGTGGGTGTTATTCATAATAATTGTACGTTACGGATATGAAAAAGATATGAAAATAAATTTAATGTAACAGAAATGATAACATATAGGAATTGTAAAGACTAGTACATAACATGCATAAATTTAAATATAAGTATTATTTAAAAGATGGTCATTCATTTTATCCAGGAGATTAATAAAAAGCTGTTTTGATTATCAGTAATTTTAATAGAAGTAAACAGACAAAAAAGATCATTTATGCATAGATAATTGAAGGTTGTATATTATATTATTATATCAAAATAATAACTATTTTTAAAATTACTTTCCTATACAATAAATTGATGTTAATTTGCAGAAAACGTGATTATGATTTATGATTGTAAGAAAAAGTAATTTAATACTTTTAAAATTGCTTTATTACAATTAATTTAGGAAAGTAATTTTGAGTAATCACTTGATATGGAGTGGCAAAAAATAATATCCCGGTTTGAAACTTTATGGTGACATTAATCAATAACAACAATATAGGAACATAACACCCTTCTTTGAAACATAAAAGTTAACTTAAACGACATCGTAATGCGATTTTGTATTTTTATTAAAATATTGCGTTAAAAAGTGATGCATACAATATGCTATACAATAGTTTAGAATAAGTATTCTAAACTTTTGTATAGCCTCGAAATATATAAGAAATTTCCATAGTCGTGGCATGAAATACAACACCACAAAATTAGCATAATTATTATTTATTTTGTTGTGTACAAAAATGTGTATTAGAAACTATCTTCACTATCATCAGATAAATGAAAAAAGAAATTATTAAGACGTTTGTCTTGAGTTTTCTTTAAGACACCTATTTTACCGTCGGTATTAGAAACAGAAGGTAATAATTCATCTGGCGTGATCAGCTCCTTAAAATCTTTTCGTATATCATTTGTAGCTATGTTATAAGATTTTGAAGATCCTATTAGATTTTGCAATGTTTCTCGGTTATAATTAACTTTAATATCGGAGAGAATAGTTACTTGTGAATTTTGTGTTCTATTAGATTTTATTGACAAAATACGTTTATCGGGTACAATTTCTTCATCAACAGGGAGATCACTTGATTCAGAAGATGTTGATGGAAGCCTTTTTGCACGTTTTGTAGGTTTTAGTAAGTTATGATTCTTTAGTAAATAACAATCACACATTCCCCTTTTGGGTGAACGAGCACAGAAACAGCTTAAAATTCTTGACGCAATATTGTGTGAATGATTTGTAGTTTGTATTTGATGTATTTTCATATTATTGGGGACAGGTATAAGCGATATCAAAGATGCCTTATAATCTTCCTTAATACTGTTTATGTCCTCTTCATCAATGCAGAAAAGTTTAACGCTGGTTTCTTTTTTTAAAAGATTATATGCAGATTCGGCGTTGAGGACGTCACTGCCATGTGCCACTTTACTGTCTAAAAGCCTTTTAATAACACCACCAACGCCATCGGCAGCACCCTTTCCATGGGCGGCTTCAAAAAAATTCCATGTCCCGGTTAAACCAAAATCTTTCATGATTGTATTAAATAAAAAAAAGTTTTTCTTTTGCCGGTACTGTGTCGTTGGCCCATCGGAAAAAACGTGTAGTGTGTCAATTTCTGGTGATTGTTTAATTATGTGGGTTAAAATAGGTTTTAAATGTGCCCATATTGCTTCTGGCGAATGGTCAGTTGCATCTGATAAAGTACAGTAACTCTGTGGTTTTTTATTTTTTTGGTATATCATACTCGTATGCAAAGATATCTGATATTGAGAGGCCCCAAAGTGAACGGCTTGGATCTCTTGAAACATTTTACAAGAAAAATTCTCCGAAAAATCACAATGTAAGAGAATTTCATTAGTTTTAAGATTATCCTTCATATCTTTATACATTTTGTATTGATGGCTGATATTGTATAAATGAATATTAAAATCCTGTAGGTCTCGTTCAAATTTAGTCACTAAATCTTTTAAAGCGCCAGTCTTAATTTCTTTTACATTTCGTTTACATTTCTTTATTAAATTATTCTTTTTATATTCTACTTTTTTAATAGACCACTCCAGCCATGTAACATTTTCATCAAGTGTAATTGTAGTTAAATCATATGTTATTTTTTTAACTTTACAGATTGTACATTGCCCATACATACATTTCTGAGAGTTTGAATTGCAAACTAAAGATTTAACCAGATCGTTTATACTTTTATGTCCAATTAGAACTGATAATTTTTTGAGGGTGGCAAATTTTAATTCAATATTTGAATGCTTCTTGCACACGCATGTATCGCGGTCTGAAAGTTTTGGCCTGACTACATAAAAGGGCTTATTTCTTAAAAATGTCGTGTAAGACAAATTAATTCCTGTATCTTGTTTAAACTTGTTATATAAATTAGTTACGTTGTCAAGTAGATATCTTTTTTTATATCTTCAATTTTTTTAGGGTCTTTGTCTCTTTCTTCCCAGCAGTTGTTCGAGATACATCATCTTGTAAATAGAAATCTCGTATTATGCTGGCAAACACTGCATGTTTGGTATTTTCTTGTGTTATTGTATTACGAGGCCGACCTTTTAAACCAATACAGTAACCCAATCTAGTTTTCATTTTATGTTCTTGAACCACAGCATTGCTGACTACATTTTTTAAAATATTTCTTTCAGCGTTACTTTTAGCATTCTTGTATGAGTTTGTTAAACATTCGCTCAATATGTTCTTTTCGAGTATAACTTTTCTTATTTTATCTTTTTCTGGTGAAGGTACATCTTTTAACTGCTGAATGAAGGACTCAGTTTTTAATATTGAAGAAGTTGGCGTTGTTGGTAATGAAGGTTCAACATTTTCTTTACAGTCATCTCTATAATTTTGCTGACATGTCAATTACAATTTGTATCTATAAACTCTTTTTCTTAGAGAATCTACATGCTTTTTCAATATATCTATTTTTCTTTTTTGCTTTTTATTTTCTTTGGTAATTCTGTAATATCTTTCTTTATATATTTTACGACTAGAGTTTTTGTCTGTTTTGTCATTGTGATTCAACTGTTTTTGTTTCAGTTGCCGCCAAATTTTACGTCTTATAACTTTTTCGGTCTCTGATAACTCAGAAATCTTTTTATAATTTCTTCTTTTTTTCTCAGCATCTTTTTTCTTTTCTTCATTCCATTTAATAGGATTATTTTGCTTTAAACGTTCTCTATATCTTTTTTGTCGCTCTGCTGATGTCAATGGCATTTTATCTAAAACAAAAGTAAACATTACCTGTATTTTTATTATACATACTTTTTTTAAATCCCGCTCTATACAACAATTTATCTAAAAATGTAAAATATCTATCATGCCATTTTACATTAAAAATGAAAATTAACTATAATAATTAATCTGAACATTATTGATTAAAATTGTTATCATCCGGTTTTAAGAGAAAATGAAATGGTATATCATTGATATGGGAGCATATATGTAATATTAGATATTCCTCTAGTTTTTAAAAACTGCATTTACTAAAGTCAACTTTTCATAGTTTTAAGATTGATTCAACGATCAATTCTAAAACAATGAAAAGTTTTTCCGTAAATAGTCAATTTCCTGCTTATCTATCAGTTGTATCTAATTCCACTGTGTAACATTAGTGACATCTTCAGAAACTCAGCACTAATGCAAGATTCGTATGTTATGAAGTTTGAAGTACATAAGTAGATATTAAAAATATTTGATAACTTACTGATGATTACTTTGTAACTCAATAATCTACAAATATATTAATATCCGCATAAATTGAAACCTTTATAAATAGATGACCCACATTTTAAAATAAATAGGTTAGCAATTTTCTATTGAACAATTAAATTTGCTATATATACGCAGCTTTATCTATTCATATCTGTTACGTAACAGAGAAGCGTAACGGAGAAATACCGTATATGAAAACTTAGCACGTGTCTAAACTACAAAAAACTTTGTGGTAACGTCATCAATTAGTTTTGACAAATTCCTTCTACCGATTTCTCTTCCGCAACCACGATCCTTTTCTCATAATAATATAAAACCTTGAAAATACTTACTGAATTTAAATACACCACAAAAATGAATATCACAAATAAATGTCGAATGTCGAATGTTACACACAATATTGATGGCACTGAGTGAAAGAACAAATGGCCGAATCGACAGTCACGTCACCTGTTTACAGTGTTTGTTGTGTAATGTTGCCAGTAAATAATTTTATTTCCAAGTTAGTAATAATGTTGTAAAACACTGTAACCGAGAAGAAAAACAGAGATGAGTATAATATTGGACATTCATTTAAATATGTAAATATTATGTATACATTACTGTTTGTTTTATTTATTTCATAGAATAATGTATTTTAATGGATAACCATACCAAAAAACTTTTAAGTTGTATTCTAAACTAATTCGATTTTTTTTAAATAAATTTTTAATGTTATCTTAAGTAAAGATGGACCATGAATTTATGTATGAAATTTCTGTGGGCACAGTTTGAAAATTTGAAATATTGGAATATATTTTAGTTTCGATAATTTTACTGAGTATTATAAATTGTAGTTCTACACTTTTAGAATTAGGGTAAATAAAATTTTGCTAATATTGAAACAGCAAATAAAAAATAAGCGAGCTGGACGCGGAGAGAGTAGTAAATGTACAATTTTCGTGAATAACACCCTGGTATTCTGTGAGAGAATGATCCTACCCTGGTTGAACCGACCTATTCGTGCTACAACGACAATATATGGTGGCTGTAACACGTAAAAAGAGAATGAAAGATAACTCACTCAACACGACATCTGTTTATACTCTAGCCTAAATTGTTTTAAGTTACTCGTAATAAAATTAGATCGAAAGCATTGTTTATTTTTCTTGGTATTAATTGACAATTTGAACCCACGGTTATCCATTAACAATCTAGACATAAAATTTAATTAAAATCATTTCAGTTAATCTTTATAATACAACGTTTATGGCTGATTTTTCAATAGTGAGATGGAAATTTATCCATCTATTAATTTTAATTAAGATTTTTAGCTTAGATACTTGTCTTTTAAGCCGTTTTTAGCGATCTTTGTTTTTATAGATTTTTTTCTTTTACAATATACTGATACGTTACATTGCGAGTTTTTGGAAGGTTTTGACGATAGCTCAAGCTAGGGAACAGTCGATGACGACAGTCACACGAGTTCACAAGGCGCCTAAGCGATCAAAATAACTTGAGGTTTATATCGAGATTGAAGCACCTGTTTCATCATTTTCTCTAATAGTTGATATATGTATATAAAGCCAGACATTTTAAACTGATTATGTAAGAATGAAAAAATTCACTGAATTTATTATACTCGTAATTGATCATCATCATAAAGCAGTATATACAGACAGGCGCAGTGTGTAAATTTTGTTTTAAAATAGGTTAATTGATTAGTTAATATACCCCTAATATTATTTAAGCTAAAAGGACTGGGTAATATCATGTTTATCTATGTTATAATACACTAATAAATAGTGAGAAAATAAGATGTTTTAAACTGGTTATGTAAGAATAACAAAAACACATGTATATTTTCAATTGTATTTATCATTTTGATTAGTAAGTGTAAATCCCAAACATAACAACTTGATTAACTTGAATCAGAAGGACATTTTCTATGATCAGATTCAATATCTATAGATTGCATTTGCATATTTCTGTTATCATTTTGTATCTGCCTACGGGCAGTTTCGCAAGCTTTCAGCCTGCAAGGTAATACAGATTTCTTATAAGCTATCCACCTGAAAAAAAGTTAATGAATGTTCTAAAGAGTGTCTATACTAAATAATAATTCTTATCAAAATATTATTTTTTGTGAATTTCTTGCTTTTAAATGTTTATATACGTATTAAGTAACAATTTACATTTCAAACACTATCAAAGCCAACAAAACATGTTCATTCAGAAGGACATTTTCAATAATAAGAGATATGTGATAAAACTGTTGCCTTCAATGTCAATAAACCCTATTTCTGTTAAAATATTGTTATCTCTGCCTCTATGTTAAATAAAAATATATTAATATTTAAAAAAACACCAATAATTAATCAGCTCTAGTTAATTATTAATTACACAGTAATAATTATCAATTTACATACAACAATATTTGACTATGTACAAGTTGCCTGACTTTTCATTTTCACTGGTCTCATGTTAGATAACAGGATATTATTTTTATATTAAGTACTAATATAAATGACAAAAAATATTTTTATTTAAAATTTTATATGTGGTAGAGCCATGCTTCAGTTATATTAGTAGTATAGTTGTACGAGTATATTTATATTTATATTTTTATTTACATTTTAAAAACAGTGTACATGCTGTGGCTTACAGTATGCCCAAAACGTCAGCATGCTAATTTACAAATTACAGTTTTAAATAATAATAATAAGATACATGTCAACCTTCAACTTTTGTTATATATTAATATGTATTTTTTGTTACATACATACTTATCTTAGTATATTTATTACAATAAATATCTCTATCTTTAATTAATACTTATTATAGGTAGTACATTATACTTTTCATAGGAATGTATTTTTCAGTCTTTTCTTTAATGTTACTGTGCTTATGTCTTTGGACGTATCTCTTATAAAATCTATTCGTAGTATTTTTTAAAAGGTCAAACAAATTAAAGAATACATGTCCAATAGATCAAATAAATACCAAAAAATACATGCGAGTGGCACGAATGGGTCGGCTCAACCGGGGTAGGACCACGCTCTCACAGAATACCAGCGTAAAATAGCAGCTTAATGCTGCTGTGTTTCGTATGGTAAGTGAAACGGAGACCCTTTTTACTGGAAACGAGGCATTCCATCGCAGTCCTTAGGGGTGACAACGTCCATTTATTCTGCATTCTCTATTGAAGATAAATATGTAGATGTCTATGGGCCACAGTAACCACTTACGTATCACAGTAACCGCTTTTTGGGCATTACGCAGTCGCCCTAAGACTCTTAAAATAGTATTGTTATCAATAAATAGTGATAAAGATGCTAATTTACATGTTTTAGCCAACTAACTTCCTTTACACAGTATTGCCATTTCTTTTGCAAAATGAAGTGCTTGTGAGATACGAATACATACCTTTAGAGCTTTTCTTAATTCTTGAACAGTTAGGTATTGAGTAAATGATGTAGGTTGTGATTTTGAATTTTAATTTTACAATTTTTAATAAATCTTAATATATAACTGTAACTCGAATAAGTCTTTGTAATTTTAAATATTTGTTAATATGAGGAAGAATTTCCTCATCTTGAGTTAGGTATTGAGTAAAGGATGTAGGTTGTAATTTATTTCTTTTGGATTTTGAATTTTAGTTTTACAATTTTCAATAAATCTTAACATATAAGCTGTAACTCGAATAAGACTTTGTAATTTTAAATAATTGTTAATGTGAGGCAGAAGCTCTTCGCGCCTTGAGTTTTTATATCAGTCCCAAGCCCGTTTATGTTAACATTAGTAAATAAGTCCTAAGCCAATTTATGTTAACATTCGTTCGTACTGTTAGTTTTATTTCAAGTTAGTGTCTATTTTATCAACTTGTTGAGTGGAAATTATACTTTCTTTTTGACGTAAAGAGTTTGTTACGCGCCATCACAAATTAAATCTTTAAAAGAACTCGGTATACCTCGCGAAACGCAATCAGCTGGGTTATCTCCCGATTTGATGTGGTGCCACCGATCACTATTTATTACATTTACTATCTCAGTTGTTGTATTTGCTTCAAAAGTTTTCCATACATTGAGATTCTTCCTAAGCCAAGACAGAACAATAGTGGAATCGGTCCAAGCATATATAGATTCATCATTAATTTTGGGACTTACTTTTACATCTTTGATCAGCTTAGCTAATAGGACTGCTCCACAAAGTTCCAACCGTGGCAAAGATACTTATCGCATGGGTACAACCTTTGTTTTTGCAGTGATAATTATGACAACTAAATTTTGTTTAGTTAGAACTCTCAAGTATACAACGGTAGCATAAGAAAAAAAAAACGTCGCTAAAACCATGAACTTTAAACCGTTCTGAACCATCAAAAGCAATATGTATCCATCGTTATAAGTTTATTTTACCCATTTGTGACAACTCATTTCTGTAACTAACCCATTCACTTGCAAGTTCTGTTGGAGGTTCATCAGCCCAACTAACACCGTTTATCCATAATTTTTACAAAAAGATTT